GTGCCTGCCACAATGCCCAACTAATTTTTGGTTGCAGCCATCATTGTTGTTTGGCGGGCCCAGGCTGGATTCGAACCCACCAGCTTAGGTGTATGTGCCTTAGCCACTTGAGCCAAGGTGCCGAGCCCACCCTCCTATTCTTGAGTTTCAGCAATTTCTTGCCTCAGACTCCCAAGTAGCTGGGACTACAGTCACCTACCACAATGCCTGGTTTTTTTTTTTTTTTTAAGATAGAGTCTATTTTATTGCCCTCGGTAGAACGCCATGGCATCACACAGCTCACAGCAACCTCCAACTCCTGAGCTTAGGCAATTCTCTTGCCTCAGCCTCCTGAGTAGCTGGGACTACAGGCACCCACCACAATGCCTGGCTATTTTTTGTTGTAGTTTGAGCAGGGCTGGGTTTGAACCCACCACCCTCGGTATATGGGGCTGACGCCTACCCACTGAACTATAGGCACTGCCCCTGGCTATTTTCTTGTCGCAGTTGTCATTGCTGTTTAGCAGGCCTGGCCCAGGTTCGAATCCATCTACATGGGTGTATGTGGCCAGCGCCTTACCCACTAAGCTACAGGCACTGAGCCTTTTTTTGAGATGGTCTCACTTTATCACCCTCAATATAGTGCTGTGCTGTCATAGCTCATGGCAACCTCAAACTCTTGAGCTCAAGAGAGCCTCTTGCCTCAGCCTCCCAAGTAGCTGAGACGAGCAGGCCCCTGTCATGACATCTGGCTAATTTTAGACTTGGAGTCTTATACTTGCTCAGGCTGGTCTTGAACTCCTGAACTCAGGTAATCCACCTGCCTCAGCCTCCCAGAGTGCTAGGATTACAGGCATGAGCCACCCCTGGCTTACTTAACTTGTTTATTTGTTTATTTGACAGAGTCTCACTATGTCACCCTCGGTAGAGTGCTGTTGCTTCACAGCTCACAGCAACCTCAAATTCTTGGGCTTAAGAGATTCTCTTACCTCAGCCTCCCACATAGCTGGGGCTACAGGTGCCCAACACAATCCTGGCTATTTTTTTGTTGTAGTTATCATTGTTTAGGAGGCCCCAGCTACGTTCAAATCCACCAGCCCTGGTGTATGTGGCCAGTGCCCTAACCACTGGGCTATGGGCACAGAGCCTTATTTTTGAGAGAGAATGTTGCTCTGTCACCCAGGCTAGACTGCACTGGTATGATCATGGTTCACTGCAACTTTCAACTTCCAGGTTTGAGCCTCTAGGCTCAGCTTCCCAAGCAGCTAGCACTATAGATGTGGCTTATTTATTTATTTTTTTTTTTGGAGACAGAGCCTCAAGCTGTTGCCCTGGGTAGAGTGCCGTGGCATCACAGCCCACAGCAACCTCCAACTCCTGGGCTTAAGTGATTCTCTTGCCTCAGCCTCCCAGGTAGCTGGGACTACAGGCACTGGCCATAACGCCTGGCTATTTTTTTTTTTTTTGAGACAGAGCCTCAAGCTGTCCCCCTGGGTAGAGTGCCATGGCATCACAGCTCACAGCAACCTCCAACTCCCGGGCTCAAGCGAGTCTCCTGCCTCAGCCTCCCAAGTAGCTGGGACTACAGGCGCCCGCCACAACGCCTGGCCATTTTTTGGTTGCAGCCGTCATTGTTGTTTGGCGGGTCCGGGCTGGGGGACTCGAACCCGCCACCTTAGGTGTACGTGGCTGGCGCCTTAGCCGGTTGAGCTATAGGCGCCGAGCCACGCCTGGCTATTTTTTGGTTGTAGTTGTCATTGTTGTTTGGCAGGCCCGGGTTGGATTTGAACCCGCCGGCTCAGATGTATGTGGCTGGCACCTTAGCCACTTGAGCTACAGGCGCCAAGCCTTATTTTAATTTTTTTGTAAAGACAAGGTCTCACTATATTGTTAGGGGCTAGTCTCGAATTCTTAGCCTCAGGTGATCCTTCCACCTTGGCCTCCCCATGTGGTAGGATTATAGGAGTGAGCCAACACTCCCAGCCTATTTCCATTTTTTGAACCTCAGTTTCCTCATCTATAAAATAGAATGGTGAGGATTACAGAGATCTGAGAAGTACTATTACAGTGCTTGTGCGGCACATCACAGGAACTCAAAAGGTGGTAACTATTATGTGGTATAGGGTAAAGTTTGAGAACATAAGCCAAATTAAAGGATTCAGATTCTGGTTTTACTACTTACTAGCTGTGACTTTATGCAAGTGACTTAATCCCTCTATACCCCAGTTTCCTAGTCTGTAAATTGATGATAACAGTAACTATGCCTAAGGATGAGGTAAAGATTAAATTCATGAATGTATATTGGACACTTATGCTAGTGTCTGGAAGACAGCAAGCTCTCAAGAGATTCAAGCAATTATCATCATTTACTATTTTATACCAAGAGCACAATTCCTATTCCAGTCCTGCCTGTACATCATGTTGAATCCCTTTTACCTGATCATTATTACTATTTCCTTTTTCCCCATTTTCACATATACTGCTTTCTCCAGGAAGAAGAAAGAACCATATCAAGTTGTGGGGAAAAAAATGTGGAAGGAAGAAAAGACCCTACAGAGAGGAAGCTGAGAAACAGCTGACAAGAAAACTCACTGAGTTCTCAGTCTCACATACCTCATCCTGGATTTATCCTGAAGTATCCCTAACCATGGAAGATTGCCAAGTCTAATCCAAAGACAAGTATGTTTGGCCTGAAGTAAAACTTTAAAGAACATACTTTTTTTTTTTTTTTAAGACAGAGTCTACTGTCGCCCTAGGTAGAGTGCTATGGTGTTATAGCTCACAGCAACCTCAAACTCTTGGGCTGAAGCGATTCTCTTATCTCAACCTCCCCGGTAGCTGGGACTACAGGTGCCCGCCAGAACACCTGGCTATTTTCTTGTTACAGTCATCCTTGTTTAGCTGGCTCAGGATGGGTTCGAACCTATCAGCCTTGGTGTATATGGCTGGCACCCTGGCCGCTGAGCTACAGGCGACGAGCCGACATGAAGACTTCTGAGACCCAAGCCTGTACTATCTCTTTTTTGTGGTCTCACTCTGTTGCCCTACCCTGGGTAAAGTGCCATGGTGTTATAGCTCACAGCAACCTTCAGCTCCTGGGCTCAAGGCATCCTCTTGCCTCAGCCTCCTCAGTAGCTGGGACTATAGGCATCCACCAAAACACCTGGCTAGTTTTTCTATTTTTAGTAGAGACAGGGTCTTGCTCCTGCTTAGACTAGTCTTAATCTCCTGAGCTCAAGTAGTCTGCCTGCCTCAGCCTCTCAAAGTGCTAAGATTAAAGAAGGGGGGCCACCACTCTGGGCCACCAAGCCTCTACTTTTCTCCCAGATACCCTTTAATTTACAGATTTGAGTCTTCTCTTAGATCCTTCTCTTATTTTTCTGTCAAAAGCTTCTCTTAGGAACCCTCCTGATAATAGTCATTAATACTTTAATCCACGCTATTATTTGTGGTAGGGACACTGCATTATAGATAGTATCAGTAATTATGGATTAAATGGCTTTGTACTCTGTTAAAAAAATGTGAGCCTTTGAAGCACATTTAGTATTACCCTTGGGCACAACCTAAAGAACCTAAAGAATATGGGTTGAGCCAAGTGCAATGGCTCATGCCTGTAATACCAGCACTCTGGGAGGCTGAGGCAGGTGGACTGCCTGAGTTCACAGGTTTCAGACCAGTCTGAGCCAGAACGAGACCTCATATCTAAAAATAGCCGGGCATTGTGGTGGGTGCCTGTAGTCCCAGCTACTTGGGATGCTGAGGCAAGAAAATTGCTTGGGCCCAAGAATTTGAAGTTGCTGTGAGCTATATTGCCACAGCACTCTACCGAGGCCAACTAAATTGAGACTCCGTCTTAAAAAATAAAAAAAATAAAAGAACATGGGTCCAACTGCTGGGGCTTCCTAAAGGCAGATACCATGTCTTTTTTTTTTTTTTTTGCAGTTTTTGGCCAGGGCTGGGTTTGAACCTGCCACTTTCGGCATATGGGGCCAGCGTCCTATCCTTTGAGAAACAGGTGTTGCCCTGACACCATGTCTTTGTAAGCCTAGCACAGTGCCTGGCTCATAGAAGGAGCTCAAGAGATGTTTGCTAAACTGAATGTTGTTGGATCGGGAAGGTAAATGAGGACAAAAGGGAGAAAGAATCATGAGGTAAGATTTTCTTACATCTCTGGAGTCTTGGACTTGTTTTTGCCATTAAAAAACTCCGGGAGAGCTCTCCGCTCAATGGCATGAACGCTGCAAGAGAAGCCAGAATGGATTAGGAAGGATGGGAAACCCACAGGGAGGAAAGCCTAGAAGGCAGAGTGGGAAAACAGCAAGAAACTGTAGGAAGGAACTGGAAGCTTGGGGAGAACTTCCCACCAGGGCTTTAAGACTCAAAAAGAGCGCAGGAGCTCTTGTGAAATTGAAGTATACCCTGGCCTATCTGGCTAAGGAAGGAATAACTTATTTGGAGGAGGCAAGAGGAGAAACAGCCCCTTGACCCCTGCGGGCAAGGAAATAAGACTCAATGAGAAGCTGGAGCAACAATACCTATTGTAGTCAAACCAGGCTGCATAGCTGGGAATGATGATGTGGTGGGTCTGCTCGGTCACATTGTCCTCATGCAAGTCAGGATTCTTGGTCTGCTCCCCCTTGTTCCCCGTACTGTTCTCATCTTCATCCTGTGAGTATGGAGGCTGCTGGACACTCAACATTTCCATTTCCCCCTAGAAACCCTCTGCTTCTCCCATACCCGAGGAATGTTGACACTAAAGGCAGGTGATGGTAATGAGCAATCATGGGTCCCAGGACTCTGAAAGAGTCAGACTTTCGAGCAACAGCTAGAATTAGTCTAGGGTGGGAAAAGTCTGGGCAGTGAAAAAGCCTGGGGAGAAGGAACCTTATAATCACAAATCAGAATCACATAGAGAGGTAGGGCCTCTCTAAACTGGCTCCACCTTGCCAGTGGTCTCCATGCTCTCATCCTCCTGTTCATCTGAAAGAAAAGGATAGCAACATATAAGGCTGGAACCTCCTGAGGAGCAGGTAAGGCCCTATTGAAAAGCTAGGGGAAAGGTGGCAGCTGAGCCCTCCCCCACCCGTGGCCAACTGCCTTACCCAAGAGGCTCCCATCTTACCCAGGTCAGTCATGGTGCCGCCTTTGACTGGGGCTGACTCTGAGTCCTTCTTAGTGTTGACTGCCAGAAGAGAGTCATTTTATCAGACAGATTCTGCCTAATTCAAGCTCTCACCTCTTCACTCTTTTTGTTTTGTTTTTTGAGATAAGGTCTCATTCTGTTGCCTGGTCTATATTACAATGGTGTCTTCACAGCTCACTGCAGCCTTGAACTCCTGGACTTGAGCAACACTATTGTCTGAGCTGAGACTACTAGTGCATGCCACCAGGCTGGCTAATTTTAAAATTTTTTAGAGAAAGGATCTTACTATGTAGCTCAGGCTGATCTCTAACTTCTGCCTTCAAGTGATCCTCCCACCTCAGACTCCCAAAGTGCTAGGAGTGAAGACCTTCTCCACTCTTTAATAGTTCTAGACATGCCAATTGCTCCAGAAATTTTCTCAAACTGATTAAATTACAGTAACTCTTGCCAGTCACCATCATTCAAGGGCTTGAAACTCACTTATTACCTTACCCCCTTCTCCAATCAAAATCCATTTAACAGCTCAGCGCCTATGGCTCAAGTGGCTAAGGCGCCAGCCACATACACCTAAGGTGGTGGGTTCGAATCCAGCCCGGGCCCACCAAACAA